TCAGTGGACTTTGCAGGTGATGTGACACCTTGGGGGAGAGTTTGTGGTCTTTTATACTAAAACTCCTGCCCATGTTTGTGGTAGAATAATTTATGGATCTTCCTCCAAGTACCTAGACAGTGCTGGTGAGACTTCTGAGCCCTTATGCAGTGTGATGAGCTATCCCACTGAAAAGAATATAAAATCTTGTCTAAATTGAAAACCTAGAGGTATTTACCAACAGAGAGCAAAGACTCAGGCAGCGCACATTATCTGCTGCAGAAATTAGCAAGTGGCACATGAGTTGAGGGAGATGAATGACCATGAATGCTATAAAGATGAAAAAAATTAATAACTACTTTTTCCCCTGCAAGTGTCACCATACAACCTTTAAAATATGTAGATGCTACTTTCCCAGCGAGCTTCCATTTTTAACCATATCATTCAATCCTAGCTGAGCCTGACCCAAAGAATATTGCATTGTCCTCTTCAACTTCCAAATCCACCTTCTACTCCTCCAAAGCTGGTATAGCTCAGAGCTTCTTCAAGTTCAGATCGTAGCTGAGTCCAGCTTACACTCACATCCCCTGCAGAGCAGGAAATTCCACCTGCACTGAAATTTCCAAGGATGTTAGCATTTTGCGTAACTCACTACTAAAAATCAGGCAACACAGATTGCTATGATGTATTATTATGGAAAAAGATCCTTATCTACTTTCATATCCTCTGGAGAGCTGAAAAGTAATAGGGTGACAGCAGGAAACTCAGCTGAGCTGAACTTTTATGTATTTCACACTTTTTTTTTCACCCCTCCCCTCCCCCCTTTTTTCCTCTAACTCCAGTTTTTCAATTTTTCCATCCATCCATCCATCCATCCATCCATCCATCCATCCATCCATCCATCCATCCATTTTCAGAAACTGGTTACAGAAATATCACATTAGAAGATACTCTCCCAGGATCCTGCACATAATCCCACCACAGAGAGCAGTCAGTCACTAAGACTAAATACTAAATACAGATTTTGGGTTGTAGATATGCCCAAGGGACTTGATGAAGGCTTGGATCTTGGTAGAAGCCAGCTGAGAGAAACTGCTGGTCCATTTTTAAGTGCTCAGAGGAGATGCTTGGTTTAGCAAGGAACCCTAGGGATGGGCCCCCAAATGAAGTCCCATCCAGATGTTCATAGTACACTATGTCACCCAGGGTCCCATGGAAGACATTATCTATTCAGGAGCATGGGGATAAAAAGGGAGGGAGAGAAGAGGAAATGTCTGCTGAGCACACACAGAGAAATAAAAAAGAAAAGCACTGGCTGAGTTCCAGAAATTAAAATCTGGTCCCACTGAAGGAGGTGGGAGCTTTGCCACCAGATTTCAATGGAGACAGAATTTTACCCAATGTGAACAGTACTCTGGAAATATCCTCCCTCCAAACACACTGTGGGAGCTCTTCTGGCTGTGCATACTCACTGGAAAAACAGAAAGGGAAATTAAACCCAAAACTGGACAACAATACCAGAATGATTAATCTACAAACAAAAAGAATGCAACAACAATTAAGCAAAAGGTATTGCAGAAGTGGGTGGAAAGAAGGCGGCAAATCCTTCACCTCCTGGACCACTGAACTTTGCCAGGAATAGGCAGGGATACAAGGACTCGTGGTGCTGGGTTCAGGGTGCCACGTCAAGACTGTACTGGAGGCAGTCTGCACAGATTCAATAACAAGAGAAAGAAAAACTTCTAGCACAGATTCAGCCTTGGAGTATGCTCCCGTCACTAATGCTATATAAAGAGGCCAGAACCTAGCAACTTCAGCAAAGACTCCCTAGGAGCAATCAGCGTCATCACTTACAAATTCCCAGGCAGGCTAGTTCACAGAAAGGGCGCGCTCAGCAAGCTCTGCAGTTGTGTAACTATGAGGATTCTGGAAACGAGAAATACAATGCCTCAATACAATAAACAGACACAATGCCTATAAAGCTCCATCGATATGACATCTGTGACCCAGTTATTTAGCCTACAGTTGCCCTCTGATTTAATTAACATTTGGTTTCATACCACAACTATACAGTGGCTCCGGATGTTCCTCTTTCACCGGCTTAAGAGTTCAGGCTGCCTAAGATGCTAAGTTCTACCTTTCAGAGTGCCTGAACACCCCAAATCCACATGAGACAGCTGAGGGACAAATTCCCATCACTGCTGGAACTCAGTCCCTAACTCCTAACCAAAGACCTCTTCTTTGCTGCAACTCTGCTGCAAAAACAGGCCAAACAGCTTGGTTTCTGGGAACTACTGCAAATTGCATCACTTTAGATGTGGTGATGACAGCACATAAACTTGTACACCTACCACTGACTAATACTCAATTATTGCATTTGACTTTGAGATGAAAAATCCAGATGAAGATTCACATCTACATATCAATGATGGTGAGTGTCAACAGCTAACCAAGCATTAAACCAGAGTTCCCGAGTGACTGTGTGTGACAGGCACGGCGTAGGCAGGCACACACCAGGGTTTTGAAGCTCCCAAAGTCCTCTCAGCTTCTCTCAGGACTCGTCTTTCCTCCCCAAACAACTGAAAAGCTCTGTTTTTAGCAGTGGGTCCACAGCCACCCCTGCGATGGTATGAGGCTCACAACCTTCACAGAGCTCAGACCATCTGCCAGTTTCTCCTCCTTGCTCTCTTCTCCCTCTCTCTCTCTCTCAAATAAGCAGGGAGAAATCATTTCCACAGTCCTTCCCCAGACCACATGGTCAGTCTCTTCAGGAGACCTCCTGAAGCTCCATGGTTTGCTGCCTCGTTACCTGTGTGCCTGGACAGACCACTGGTGGGAGTTGTTTGTCCACAGGCTCAGCGGTCAGCCCTTAGGATTGCCCATTGCTAGTTGCATATGCCCAATGTTATTCAAGGTAAGGGGAAAAACAGAGGGAACCAAGGCAGAATAAAGAATCTCTGAAGACCCTGCAATACTCTGCTGGCTCAGAGCAAGTTTTCCACCCAGTTACTTAGCTGGCAACTTGGAAAATGAAGAACAAATGTGCTTGGACTGACACTGAACCTTCTGCAGACTCTAGAAACAAAACTGGAGGGAAAGAGAGTGGCTGGAGAGTTATGGAGCTCTTGTGCTTCCTGGCTGCCCGAATACCATTGTTACCCCTGATGACAAACCACAAGAACTGCCTCTCAGCATGCCAAGATCCTGGGAGGAAAAGCATGGACTACCCCTAGTGCTGGGCTTTGCACCAGGCTGCCCGCTCTTCTCAGCATGTGCCATGCAGCTGTGGGTGTAGAAGGCACATCACGGCCCTCCTTCCCCACTTCAACAGCGGACCTTGTAAAGAATGGTGGGACAAGGATAACTAACTGCTAGAGGAGCCACTTTTGCTTCAGAAGTGTTCAGAGGGTACAGCCAAGACCAGCGTCTAGCCCAATCTTTAGTTACATTGTGGTACCACGAAGTAAAATCTTTCCTTTGTGGTTTAAATCAGCCTCAAATGCATTTGAAAACAATTACTGGAAGGAACAAAATAACATCTTGTTCTGAACAGCTCTCGCCAGCACTCAAGGAGGCTTGAGAAAGTTGTATGCCACCAGCAGACAGGCTGGCCACAGATGACAGCTGGGCCTGTAACCTTGCTGCTCACATCCCTTGCTGGCTCCAGGGCTTAGACCATAAAAGGACCAAACCTGAAACCAGTACCTAACTCACAAAGGGAGAACTTAAAAATCCACTTCTGGGTCACGGGTGGCTAAGGTTGCAAGTTCAGAGTTTGCAGAAGTTACTTTCACTGCCATTACACTGGCTGCAATATGAAGGAAAAAGTGATTATCAAGTCTCTCTACAGAGTAAGAAGACTAATGTAAAACCATTTCATCCTAGTCCCCTCATCTTTCCTCTACCTTTTACGCATCGTATTATTACTTGCCTTCTTTTTACATGCCCAGACCCATAGTAGTACCTACAAATGGTTGAAAATATAAAATGTTTTCCAGGACCTACACCGACTCCATACACAAACCCATACTTTATCACATTCTTCTCCCTCACTTCAAGTATATTCTGATAATTTTCTACAATAGTCTTGTTAATACTAATACACCAACTGGTATCAAACACATAGGTATTTTCTACTTATCTGCTATTTACCTAAAATCGAGAATTTTAGACTAGTACAATCCTCACTCAAAACAGCTGACAACATTCTTTTTAAACTGTCAGAAGTTTATTTTCAACAAAGAACATCATTTTAGGAACAAAGAGACATGCAGACATTTTGAGTTACTGGTTTACATGGTGCCCCTTAAGTGAAAACATCCAAAATTCTCCCTTTTTTTTTGAACAAATTGGTAGCATTACTTCATTACACTCAGGTTTTCAAGCATAGCAACTCTGACCATCAGCCCTTCTGAAATGAGGAGTTCAAGTATGAATACATAACCAGACAAGCTTCAGCTGATGTAAGAAGATAAAGGAAAGGCAAAATTAGAATTCAACCTTCTTTTTTTTTTCTTCACGGAAGGCAGTAAAAGTGACTGCTGTGTTCACTATTTATTTTAAGATATGCAGGTAAGAGTAACTTCCACACAGTAACATGTAGCCCAGCGAGGAAAGGCAGGGCAAAGGACATGCATGCACCAACATGCTTCATAAAGCAGCCCAGTGATACGTAGCAGGTTATCATGGATTGCTTACTGCAAACAATATCTGAAGATGACCATAAGTTTGTATTGGTTTGTGTTGACTGAAATAGCTTGTTTTGTCCATGCATGGGACTCCAATTAGAGTCTGCTATTCAAAACAACAATTTGCACACGGGCTGGAAGTGTTTGCAGCACAGCAGAATGACATGGCATTTAAATTTACTTACTCTGTAGATTTCTGCTGAGCTTAAAGTAAGGCCATTGCTCCAGTGAAAAAGCCCTCAAAGGCCATTTTTCCCACACTAGAGATCGGTTTGCGATTCAGCTTTCTAAACATTTATTTTAGTGCACAATCTGCCAGAAAGAGGAACTTACTGCTTGTTGTGAAGTTACCTTCCCCGACCTGGGGAAAGGAGTCTACATCTTGGATGACTTGTAGTACCCCCACAGTCCGCACCGGGGGATCCAGGGCTACGGAGCTCTCGTTCACTGTTATATCGCTGGCTCCCGTTATCTGGTTGGTTGGTGGTCCTCCTATGGATGCTTCCAAGTCCGGAGGTATATCATCCATGCAATCTGCATTTGGCTAAAGAGAAGAAAAAGATGAAAACTCAGCACTTACCTGATAAAAAGACTTAATTTACCTGTTGCCACTTCCTTCGTTTTTTTCACTTTCTTTCAGTACTGAAAATGGCAACACAGGATGAATAAACACACACTGTTTCCTTTCGTGTACTTAAAACTTCTTAATACAATCTGTTGCAAGAGAGACCCAAAGTATGCATTGGAAATATTCAGTATTAAACTATGTCACCTACAATCTCTAAATATTCTTATTTATACTTTTTAAAGAGTTTGGGGGAGTGCCCATTAAAGAAGTAATTCACTTATTGATATGATCTGTAAAACATAGGCAGTTTGCTGAGTCAGATTACAAATGTAAACAGAGACAGTAGCCAAAGGGGAATGATTATCTTTTCCCTAAATACACATTTTATAGAGCTGATATCAGAGCGTTCAGGAACAGGAATTGAAGGGAACTGCCTGTGGGCGCATCTATGTGTGGGGTGCAAAAATAGAAGTTAAAGCTGTTTATAAGACAGCTTTTTAACATCAAAATATCTTTTCCTTAGCTAAGGCTATATACAAAATAAATTATGAGAGAAGAAACAAGCAATAATGGGTATTTGATGAGTATTATTTGTTCCATGGTCTTTCCTGCTTCCTGACTCAGAGAGATCAAGGATGGAGCCCAGTTCTGGGGAATTTAGACACTTCTCTCTTGCAGTTACATAGTGAATGCACCAACACCTCCAGAATGAGCCAAGCTCTTCAAGTCGTGTCCACTTTTTCCACTGACCTTCTAGGGCACCAATGAGAAGGGGTTGTGTTGCCCACCTTTTGCACAGTGTCCTAAGCATTGCTCACGAAGAGCACTGAGACTGCAAGTGGGCACTGAGCAGCAAAGAGGATCATTTGTCCAGAGACACTGTATTTAAGACTAGTTTCTACCCTTGATTTCTCTGGGCCTGTCATAAGCCTGATGCTCCCATTCATACAGCAGTGACTTCTGTGGAGCTCTGTATAAACACTGGTGACAAACATACGAGTCAAAAAAGCTCTTTTTCCTCTAAGAGGTAATAGATTCTTGCAGCATTTGCCCATAGAGCCAGACCTGTTTTCTCCCCAAGGCATAGAGAAAAGTTGTCTGCATAACTATTTCAAGAACTGGGTTTTGAAGTTTTAACATATCGTAACAAAACCAAGGCTAATTCAGAAACGAGGATGCTGTGTGTGAGGGTGCAAAGCTTCCAAAATGACAGAAGGACATACCAAGGTTGAGCTGCAATTACACAGATACCTTGTTAAGTAAGGAAACATAAAAGTAAGTTGTTCTCATTTATCTTTATTGTGAAGGAGTCAGACAGCTAATCTGGATCAGTCACTTAGGTGTCCTCTAATGGCTTGAGACAATTTCACTGTGTTATTCATCCCACCCTAAAATAAGAGGTGTCAACTGCCCCCTCTGCCTTCCCACCGCTCAGCACTAAGCAGAGATGGGGCTCAAGCTGCTAGAATGGAAATCCAATGTCTGGATGGCTAAAGTCCTCTGCTCTGTGGATCTGATTTTTACTATGTTTAGTTGTCTCCTTTGCTAAGGCATTTTTGAAAATCTCACTACCTGCCTATCTCTAACAGCAGGCACCTAGAAACCAAACAAAATATGATACAGCAAAGACTTAAACAGAGGCTTAGCTTTAAGCACAAGAATAATCCCTTTGAACTCGGGCATAGATGGTTACCATATGCTTACACTTTTTCGCAGAACCAGAAACTAAGCATGTTTTCTCTTTACCCACACATTCCCTGTCTGATTCCTGCCACCTCATAAATATTTTTTCACAAATGTTCCTAATGAAAAACGCAGGCATTTTAAGCAATCCTCAGGTGACTTGTATCCACAAACTGAAGTTTTGGATAAAAATTAGAATTGTCGTTGTCTGGCTCCAGTCTAATCCACAAGCAGTGAGAGTTCCTCAGAACTGGGATAAAGGCACATGCAGCTATACCAAGTTTTAATGAAACTCAATGAACCTGTACTTTTTAAAGTGAAATACCAATCATTTATCTGTAGAACTTGGATCCAAAATTATTCCTTAGATCTATCACTCCTTCCCTCACCCTTAGCTATTATAACAAATGCTTTCAGAATTTCATTGTTAACTTAAATTTGGCTTTGAAGGTGGTGTATTTTAAAGGAAAAAAAAAATCTTTTTTTTTTTTTTCTTTTCTACTCTAGGAAAAACTATTTCAAAATTTCTTCAGGGGATCAGTTGTCTGTCCTTTGCTTTGATTCCAGTTATTCCTAGAATGGGGTTTTATCACTAACTTTTAAACCTTTAAAAGTGGGGGATTATAATTGAAAGCCAAATCAAACATTAAAGATGCAAAAATAGCATTGCTCGATATAATTAATCCCTTTACTCCTGAATCATTTCAGTTGGAGAAAATATCCCAAACTAAGCAGCATACTATAAAACTAATGATATGAAATACTGATCGAAAAAATGCATTATGGCTTCTGCTGTCAGAGTGACCCAGATACATTTGCTAAGTTTAATTATATTGGTTTCACTCATTCCCTGCATGTAAGTGCTTTGAGGGCACAATTCCACTAAAGTCAAGGGAAGGCTTTGTATTGACTTCTGAGAGCTTGGCTAAGGCTCTTAGTGAATAGCTTCAAGTCATCCAATCTGCTGCCAAAAATGCAGTTGTCTGCATATCCAGCAGATATTTGCAGAAAAGAGGGAGAAGCAGAGGGAAACTATTCAGTGTGATATGATCATCCCAATAGCAATGTAGCTCTTTGAAAGACACTGATAATTCATTTCAAATACTACAGCCAAAAGAGGTATAGTCTGAGCTGAATTCACCAGCAAAGAGACAGTGGAAAAGGTTATGCCAACCATTTGCTGATAGGTAGTTAGTTAATCATCCTCTGGAGCTGCAGAGGGCCATGGTGAAAAGTGGAGATGCTCAGCTACCGTGAAAGTGAGAGCAGTCATTTTGGTGCCTCATGGCAGCCTGGGGAACCTGGTTTTAGGGCAGATAATATCTGAAGTCACTGATTACAAAGTAAATGGAGAGTTTAGATGTGAATTGAATTAAAGCATTTAGATGTTTGGGTTTTAACCAGTCATTTCCTGGAAAATCCTGAGTCCTCCTGCTAAATGAAGCACAATATATCCACAGTCACACAAGCCAGCTCTTTAACAACCACCATAGGACAAATATGCAGCTGGCTGAAAAAAACCCACTACATTAGCCCTGCTTTCCTCATCCCTTCCATTGTAAAAGACTGCAAAAGGACTTTGGCAAACTTGTGCTCAAGTCTCCCATCAGAGACTGTTGCCTGCCTACGGCTGCTTTTCTGTGTGTGGAAATTTCAGCTAAGATGGCTCAGCAAGACTCAAGAATGTGATTAGAGAATGGAATTTTGCTTTATCCACTCTACAAAAAATGTTTGCCACCTCTCACTGAGAAGCCCTAGAGCTTTACAGCTTCTTCCAGGGAAATGTCCTTTCCCACAACAGCCTACTAACATCTGGCTGAGTTAGGAGCCTCTGAAAATACCAGTTCATGTGTGCTGATAGAGGCTGGTGGCTTCTTCTGGACCCACAACTACACTCTCCGGAGAGAAGAGGGCTTTGCATGGTGCTTGCAAGCTCACGGTGGCACCAGAAAGCAGCCCACAGGACCAATGCCACCCGGGGGGCTGCCCTCAGCTGGTGGCAGGCAGAGAAGGGTGAGGACACACAGTTTCTGTCTAGGTGGAGAACAGGTCCTGTGAGCTGAGCAGGGAGTGTGAGCAGCAACACCAGGGCAGGAGCTTGAAGACTAAAGGTTGAGCAGAGGGGTTACAAAGAGGAGAAGCTGGAAAGGGCATGAGGTAGGAGAGGGAGAGACAGGAGTTGAGGTGTATTTTAGAAAGACAAGGCAGAGAAAACAGAGGAAGAGGAGCAACTGATGGCAGTATAAGAATTTTTAACCCCCAAGCTACCAGATGCTCTTAGGCTCCTACTTCCTTTGCTGACAGCCAGAGAAAACCCCTGACATGAAGGCTACCATCTGCTCCCAGTTCGCATAGTCAACAGCTCCTACTGTAAGCCACCTTGAGGGGAAAGGCTCTAGCCTGCAGCTCTCTCTTCACGAGCCTAACGCGATGATCCATGCGGGTGGGAGCCACTATGCTTCCTCTGAATGATGGAGCAGGCTGTTTTCAGTTTGCTGTCTTTTAGAACAACCTAGGAAAATTTTCACAGAAATTCATATAATAAGATCCTCTAAACAAACTTTGCAAGTGGAAGACTAACTTCCAAGCGCTTGATTTTTAGTGTTAAGACAGACCAGTACTAAAGCTGAATCTGAAATCTTAATTTGACCCAGTTGTTTATGCTGGTTACAGCAGTATCTTTAATTACATGCCCAGTACAATTATTTCCACAGAAGCTCCATGTGGAAGCTTTCAGGGAAGGGAGCAGGATGGATCCCCCTTCTGCTGCTCCATATAGAGAGAACAAGACATAGAGCTGTGAGAGGAAAAACGATGGCTGAGGAAACTGAATTGTGCTTTTAATTATTCCTGGCAATTAGGCTTTTTACCACCATGGTTCGTGTGTAGTAAAAAAATCGTGTAAACCAAAACCTTGACACATAGCCTTGGGGCATGTTTTCCCTTCCCCTCGATGTACCCAGACTCAGACAGTCTGTGGACATGCTTAGACTACAGCAGCTGCCAGTGAAGTCAGTGAGAGGCATATTCTGGGTGTAAATACTAAACTTTCTGAAAAGATCTTAACACCTCACTGCAGACCTCCAAAAAGCTGAGGTCTAATTTGTCTATATCCCTTTGATTACAAAGCTGATGAAGAGCATGTTAATGAAATGCCTGGGCCAAAATGTGAGCAGACCAGTGTGAGAGCAGAAACTCTGTGGTCCTGCACGGTGCAGAAGCAAGCCATGAACAGTATACTGGGTATGGAGAAGAGGTGTCAAAATCCTGGGTAACTGCTCACTGGCAGGCTTGTGAACTGAGACATAGAACCTGGAGAAAAATTCCTGTATTTAAGCCTAGGCGCAGCGATGCTGAATGGCAGAGCCAGCCTTCATTTTGGCCTTTTCTGACATCTCAAATACTAATTTAAATTGTATCATCTTTTAATATTCTAAAGATAATATACATGCTTAGCAGAAAAAATAGCCCAACTGTAATGACGTTACCCTAACTACAGTGTTCTACTTTATTTTTCCTGTTGCATGTTTTTAGCTTGGATTATATTAGGCTGATTAATATATCTGCCTACTTCAGTAAAAACATACCTCACCACTTGGTACAAAACCTTTTTTGCAGCAATCTGCTTGGCTTCCTTGTCTCCACGAAAATGAACTCTTGGGGAATGGCTGCATCAGCTCCCCCAATATGCTCACATGAGCTATTTTACTTTATATAGCTCTTTCCTATGTGAGTTGGCATGCCACCATCTGTAACCGGGGAGGGTATTTACAGCACCTGTTAATGCATCGACTGGTGGTGTGTCAGTACTGAACTTCACTATCATGTGGCAAGCCTCGCACGGTGTGAGAAAGTGACTCGCTTCTTCCTGATGAAGCCCCTGATGTCTGTGATCGCTGAGGTCAGGAAACTGGATGGCAGACAGGACATGGACTTTCTGAACGTAAACATGCAACCTAAAAAGATCAATTGCTTTGGCAGCTTCTAACCATGTCTGAATGTTTCAAAAAACAAAGAGCTTAACAATTTCTTGTATGTCATGTGGTCTGCCACACGCGTAGTTACTGGGAGAAATGCTCCCTAATTGGAATTAGGAATACAGAGCTTGCTACAGATAGACTTCAAGAGAAATCTGACAGAAAAAAGATTTGGCTCCCCAGAATGAACAACTGGTTGTCCTTGACTAGTATTGCTGGGAAAATTTTATGTACAGACCTTCTGCTTCAAGATTTGAACTGAGAGCATGATTAAAAAATAAATCCAGTCCTGATTTAAAACACAAACAAAAGCTATGTGAAAGAATCTATAAATACACCAAAACACCAGCACACAATCCTCTGCTCCACAAAGCAGGCAATGACAGACACACAAATCCCAACACCCAACCAACCCCATACACACACTCTTCCTCGCTAATGAAAGCGGCGTGCAGGAAAGAGGTAGAGTCAGACATTTCAGCTTGTACTCCCTTTAAAAAATCCATAACATAACACAAAGAGTAGGATGGGAACAGACAGGCAAAGGGCTACAGATATACCCAAGTAGCTGGTGTTTCCCTCCTGCCCCAAGCGGCTGCTCTGCGACGTGCTTACCGGGATCCCTAGAGCTTTTAGAATATTCATTTTACACATTGGGCAGGTACGATGGTCTAGCAGCCAGGGGTCTACACAGGACTTGTGGAAAAGATGCCTGCAATGAAAAACACAATATTTTAATTCAACTCCACCATGGCACAATTTATCACTTAGTACCAGATGCTGCTTCTGAATTCAGCAAAGTGCAAGCATTTTAAAAACATTCTTCTTGACTTTCCTGCTCTTTAGAAGCTGCCCATCAGAGTGAGCTCCTACACAATTCCAGTCTTGAAGGGGTTGTTCCTAATCCTGTGCTTGCTCTGAAGTGACCACTAAGCAACTTCCAGAGCCCTGAGGCTGCTGGGAGCCACTTTTCTTATACATTATCCACATGGAGGAACTGAAAGCTTCTTGCCTAGCCTTACCAGAGACGACCTGAGATTGAATATAGAGATATTTAGTGCGTGTATCTGACTGACAGATTGTATTTTCTCTTGTGAGCATATTCTGTTACCCTGTGAGTTACAGAGGACAAATGTTATAAAATGCAGGAATGTGGGGCTCTGGATTTAAGAAACATCATTCAGTAGGCCAAGTAGAGCAGTGAGGACTCAGCGCAAGGCAGTGAAGTTTGTTCAGCCCCACCCCTCCTGAAGAAAAGAAGGAAAGTTTCCTACCATGCACATCGCCTCAGAAATTACACGGGCACGGAGGAAACTGAAAATTGACTTGCCTTCTTAAAAATCTTTTTTAATCAATTAACTGAATAGAATAGTTAGGTTGGAAGGGACCTTAGTCCAACTGCCTAATATAACTTAATAATAGCAACTTAGGCAAAATTGAAAGAGGGTATTTTATTCTGAAATATGAGGCTAAATATACATACACAAAGGTGCCAACTAAGGCTAATTTGCTTGTTTTGAAACACCATACAGATCAGCTCCAAATTTACTTTCTAAGGCTTGCAACAGGTGTCTCACATTTTACTTGGCAGAGCCTGAACATCACGTTTCAGTCTGCTCGAACTTCTACATTTGAGCAGTGCCCAGGCCGTGTTTCCCTGGGCTGCCGCTGCCCCACGCGCATTGCTCGTAGAGCGTAGCCATACAAACCCACCAGGTAACCGGGCGGGGGGGCACACAGCTCACAGCTGCCCGAGGCTCCTCCTCGGAGGGACGGACCAGCCTCTGTGAGGAAATGCAATCTCTGAGAAAGCCAGAATCACTTAATGCACCAAAATACTTCTAAATATTTAAGTGGTACGTATTCAGCTGAATGGGTTAGCTGCTGTGTTGTGTCACGGCTGCTCACACAACAAGATACATACGACCTTTCAGCTTGGTGGAAGATACTGAGGTGCACGTTCATCAATATCGATTTGCAACCCTGGCTCTTACTAACATGATACCAGCCCACGTACTGGCTGGCTGGCTTACTAGCTGGCTTTGGTCCTAAATAACACTAGAAATTCAAAGCCCCAACTGTGCGAAATCTCAGGATCTTATTCTTTTCACTGCGATGATTTTTCTCACTGCCTCTAGAAGAAACAGGTCCTTTGTCAAACAAAGTTACATGGCAAATTATCGCATTCCTGTGCTTGGTCTGACTTCACACAACTATGGGAAAAGGCAAATCTGTTCTTGGAAGTTTGACCTAGTCTAATTATATCAGTTGGCTGCAATACCGAACTTTGTCAAACCTCATCTGATCCTGTACGTCAACATGATTAACACAAATGAAGTATCGTGATACTTGAAGTTTAAACCACTGCTTTACTAAAGCTACTGAAGTTCGCAAGCCTCCTTCTAAACAAGCCTTACCGGATAAAACCACAATGCACCACATTTTGGTCTCTGTCCTGCATAACCCTTTTATCTCAGGAGGGACATACTCAGCACATCATCAAGCACGTATTCAGAACAGGTGAAGCATAAAAATACAGTCCTCAGACAGGGGTAACTTCACATTTAGAAGTCAAACCAACAGAATTCCTTCCGTGTGTTAATTCACAGAGGGTAGTGAAAGTCTTTTCAGCTATTTGAACTAACGATGAAATTCTTGGTTGTGATTGGTTTTCTCTAATTTTATACTCAAGTTCATAAACAAATATGCTTAATGGCAAACATCTGAAGCATGTTTGTGCCAAAATAATCAGTACATTAAAAAGATCTGAGATATTTATTATCCTCTTGGAAAAAAAGATTTCCAAAACTTCTTTTGGATAAAAAGTACGTAACTTCTATCAAGCCATTTTACCTTAGACTAGAAAGTCCCCATTTGTTTTCAAGTTGCAAGCCTCAGTCAAGCTGAGGTTCATATTTCAGCATTTCATACTGTTTGTTAATAACCAAAAGCTTGGAACTTCCATGCCTTAGAGACTTTAAAAACTGAAGCTTAGTGTTCCCAAAGTTGCCTTCAATAAACAATATTTTAAATGAAATTCTACCAATGCTGAGTAATTTAAAAACATGACAGATCATGTCACTTTGCACTTCTCAAGACTGAATTAGCACAGTGCACTATGGCTCTATTAATTTCAGGTTTAATATGTACAACAAAAGGAACTTGATTATTTGACAGAAATCTACAGAAAAACGGAACTTTACTGAAAATCAGATAAAGATTTGCATTTTAAAATTTTTGTACCAATTATATAATTAGAGTGCTCCTAATATCTATTTTTGAAGATACAAACATTTGTGCAGAGTGAGGTGGCAGGCTCTGCAGATTTGGATTTGCTTTATTCGTTACTAGCTACAGAACTATGTATCTGCTTATGGCTTTCAACAAATTGTGAATTGTTTAATGTCCTGATAGGTTTATCATCTAAACTGAGGCAAAATAAGGGTCAGCACAAAGTAAGATGAGAGAGAAATTGCAATATTTCACTGTCACATGGTAAGACAAAGATGTAAAAAGATCAACTGCAACAAAAATGTCTCTCCCTCTGCAGTTCTGCCTGATGCAAGGTTTAAAAGGAAGGAGAGGGTAGAGGCGTCATGGATGAGTTCAGAAGTAATGACCCATACAGGGAGACAGTAAGAGAGAAGTTTCAAGTACAGGGTCAGGACATGGCTTTGGCAAAGTCAGAGCTGGAAAAAAATGTTTTTTCTTTTCTGTTGTGTGTAACCACATGCGTTGCAAAACTATCTAGATTTGGATGGGTTGAAAAGTTTCTCAAAAGAACTGTAATTGATTAGTTGAAAGAGAGGAAGGCGAGGGGAAAGGAGATGTTGTAACAATCCTCACACAAAATAAAGGCTTCCATAAGGAGAAAGGAAACAACTATTCTTCACCTCTCCTAGGGGTAAGACACACCAAATTTTGGTCACATTTGGGACGTGTTTAAACTGCAGCAAGTGAGATCCAGGTTACACAACAGGAAAAGCTTCACCACAGTCAGGGGGTAGCAAAGCACTGCAGTAAATTATTAGTGGAATTTGCAGAGTCTTCATCTTGGGAGACTGGAGAGTGTGTTGAAAAAAACTTTCAAGAATGACATGTGCACGGCCAGTGCCCCTGTCGCTGTTCCAGAGGTGGTGGCCTCCTGGGATCCCTCCTGCGCTCTTCTGCGACTCTGCAACTGCATGCGGCTGTGTAAAGATCACAGAGTGCACAGGAAGACAGAGAACCTCAAAATCCCAGAGCATTTAATTTACTATTATCTAAATTGAAATGTATTTAAATTTTCTTTAAATTTGCAATTTTAATCATACAAGAAAAAAAAAAAATTCATTTCAGGGTCAGCCCAAAATTATAATAATAATAATAATAATAATAATAATAATAATAATAATAATAATAATAATAATAATAATTTGATGTAAAACTATTGTAAAGCTTTCAGCTTGCCAACAATTTTGAAAAGCTTTTTTTCCAGGGTAAGGGAAACTGGCACCTTCTACTCCTAGCCCCAACTTTCCAAAATGCATGCAAACAAGCCTGGCAGTCATGGAATGTTTCTCAGAAGAAAAGCATGAGCAAAGAGGAGGCAAAAGCACAAAGAGAGGTACCTCCCTAGGGACTCTAAGAGCATCAGTTGCCTGGGTCAGACATAGGGCTGAAGCAGATTAAGAAAGGTTTTGGTGAGAGACTAAGCAGCCTGGCAGGATCCAATAAGAAGGTTTGGGCTTCTGGGGGTGCACGTACAGTATTAGTTGTTTATTTTTGAGGAAGAAGGAAGGATAAAAGAAGATGATGATGAGGGTAACTGACAGGAAGGAATCAAAAGGGAAAAATGTGTGTGATGAAATAATTTTCACGGAAAGCTAATAAAAAGAGAAAGGAGCGAAGCGGTCTCAGAAATCACAGTTGTTCGTGTAGTGAAGGTTCAGGGGAAGGGAACGAGCTGGAATGGGGTCAGAAAGTGCATTTATTGCTAACAGAAATGAAACAACCAAAAAAAGATCTCATGAAGAACTCAGTAGAGATGACGTTGAAAGAATTGTCTTGCCTCTCTGTAGCAGTTTAGTAAAGTTAGTAAAAGTTTAGTAAAAGGCACACACTGGGAGCAGCAGCACCAGTAACTTCTCCAAAGCCAGAACAGAAAAGACAAAGGCATTTTGAAGCTAGAGACAGAGGACAAGCAGGAACCAGGGATATGACAAGAGATGTCACTCTGGGAACAATGAACTTGGTTACATTTGATGTTGTGTCAGTGCCCTCAAAGATAACTTCAGTGATGCTTGCTACCATTAAACATAAAGTCAGCTGCAAGCCAATACTTTTTTTTTTTTTAATCAAGTGTCAGTTCTTATTTATTTAATACATTCTGTAGAGTGAGGTTTATTAATACAGTCAGTTGTGGGAGCTGGCTAAAGGGGACAGAGAGGAAGAAGCACAAGTTAACTGGAATTTTCGTCCTAGCTCTCCAGAATGGGATACATAACAATAGGCTATCCCAGTGTCGGCTCTCTGCCAGCAGGAGGGAGGACATTTGGGGAAACAGTGTATGTACTAGTAAACAAGTATCTACACGACTTCAGAGCTCATCCACTGCAATATGGGCTAGTGGACTTTTGGTACCAATTTCTTGGCAGATTCAGGCTCCACCAGCCTTAAAAATAGGTCTCAAGATATACAGGGCTTTTACACAGAGTGTGCCTGATAGCAGTGCTTTTCCCAGTACTGCCTGCAGTAGAAAGCAGCATCTTTCATGTGCAGCTCTTGAGGCATATTTGGCTTTACAGGTAAAAAGTTCTACATCTTGAGCACCTCCTGGATAGAAACACTAAGGTCAGCCAGCACTGGCGTCACATGGTGCTGGCTTCTGCAAGGCTTGGTGAAATGCCAGCCTCTTATTATAAAACAGCAGTCTAATGAGGTTCCCATACTAGGAACTGCACACAGTTTAACTGAGGATGCTGGAGGAAGAAACCTACAGAGTGTGTAGGTCTTTATCAAGATATAACACTCTCCTACTCACTTAACATAGAGAGAAATTAATCCTTTTTTTTTTTTTTTTTTTTTTTTTTTTTTTTTTTTTTTTTTTTATCTCCTGTTTTGGAAGTCCAAACCCAGGCGAATGTGTAAAATACTGCCCTCACAATTTGTATAGCAGGAAAGCCAGGGTTTGTGAAGTAGCTGCTTGAGAAAGAGTTTTTAGAATTCAAAACTGCTGAGGCTTGAACTGTGAGTATTTTACAAGACAGTTCTGCTGCTGCTAGCCTTTTAGCATGAGTCATTTTCTAGGCGACCTTTTAAGTCAGCCAAGAACTGAACATCACCTGTTAACTATGCGTTTCCTATTCACTCTGCTTGACTCAACACTGTGGATGACAAAGTCTGACTGGAGCCTCATTGAATTATGAGGCAAGACACAAGTGAAAGCTAGAGCTTAGACGTATTTTTTGCTGTTGTATAACTACGTCCAAAAACTGCCTATCTCTATCCTGCAAAACTTCCAATTTTATTATGCTTCATGAAAACAAGCTTGATGGCAAACCAAGGTCCATATTTTCTGGTAATTTCTCATTTGTCTGTATTTCTGCTTCATGAAGTGATGCATTTGTGTGTGTTCACAGAAAAAAAACAACAAAAGCTTACATGCAATTTGTCATTGTGGGGGATTTACAGTAGGTCAAGTTTATGATTAATCTGCTGGTTTTTGTTTGCCATTTAGTGATGGCAGTAAACAGATTTAACGAGTCAGATAAATGAACAGAAATGGGCAGCTTGTAATATTCAAATACCTACTAGGGAACAACACAGAAGGAAAAGAAACAAATATTTCTGTTTCTCAAACCAGTGAACATGTTTGCAGGAGAAGAAATAAACTATTTTAAAAAAAATCTGCTCTGTATGCACAGCACTTGAGATTCCTATTTCTAGGGAAATCAAAGATTTGCTATTGTTCTCCTAGGGCAACCACTGTTCTGAGGCAATCTCCTAAGAAACTGATTTCCTCAGAGAAATCTTTCATTAGCCAACACTTCACAGATGACAATACAGTGGCACAGAGAAATGAGTACAGCTGTTACAGGTGGCAAGAGGCTGCACTCCTGTGTTGCATCACTGTGAGCCTATGTGCTGCACAGGGCACGTTCACATAAGGGGAAGAAAAGAGAAAGAACAAGCTGCAAAGCTCTTCTTGTCACCTCCATGTCCCACATGCCTGAGAATATTTTTATGGCAGCAACAGATAACGTGGTCTTTGTCACGTTCTCTTTCTGCTTTACTGTTTCTACTCAGCCTATCTCTTTTCACAGAATCACAGAATCGTCTAGGTTGGAAAAGACCTTGAAGATCCTCCAGTCCAACCATTAACCTCACAGTTCCCAACTCCACCAGATCCCTCAGCGCTGGGTCAACTTGACTCTTCAACCCCTCCAGGGATGGGGACTCCCCCTCTGCCCTGGGCAGCCCATTCCAACGCCCAACAACCCCTTCTGCAAAGAAATCCTTCCTCAGAGCCAGCCTGACCCTGCCCTGGCACAGCTTGAGGCCATTCCCTCTTGTCCTATTGCTGTTACTTGGTTCGAGAGACTCATCCCCAGCTCTGCACCCTCCTTTCAGGGAGCTGTAGAGGGCGATGAGGTCTCCCCTCAGCCTCCTCTTCTCCAGACTAAACCCCCCCAGTTCCCTCAGCCGCTCCCTGTACGACCTGTGCTCCAGACCCTGCACCAGCTTCGTTGCCCTTCTCTGGACACGCTCGAGTCATTCAATGGCCTTTTTGTAGTGAAGGGCCCAAAACTGAACATGTTTAATGGCTGGGGGTTTTTTGGATAGAAGTCATGCCTTTGTCAGCACCTGGACATGGCCCAGGAAAAGAAGTAGCTCCATGGGGAGCGGGACCCTGCTCTACCCTGGCTGCTGTGCCCAGAGCTCACCTTGAAGTCAGGGGCAAATTCTTCTAAGACACTTATTCTGGACTGATATAAAACTAGTGAGGAAAACAGAGGAATCAAAACTTTTAGTTTAAAAATCCTACTGAAGACTTTGGAATAGGCCCAGATCAGAGAAAATTTCTATCATACTAAACTCATATTCTCACCACCATTAATACTTTGTTGAATAAGAGGCACTTCAGATATCTTTACTAACAGATTTTGAATAAATCAAAATGATAAACTCACTCTTCCCTCCCAAATCTCTCACCAGTGTGATACTGCGAGAACAGAGTCTGTCTTGAAGTAGAGAGATTATCAGAGCTGCAACCTTCAACTTACCTGCAAGGCAAAATTCTGACAACATCATTGGGCTTGTAGCCTTCAATACAAACAGCACAGTTATCAAAGTCTGGCTCAGTTTCCTACAGGAAAGAGAACATTCATCATTTTCATTTTTTGATTTTGTCAGCTCATCTCTTCATACAAGAGCCTAGGTGCCCGAGTAAAACCGTCACCGATGCACGCTGCAAATCCAATAATGCATTTCAAGCAAGTCAGATTTTCCAAGATGTTTCCAATTGGAAACTTCCCCTGGAAAGCATGCAGATTTAGTTAGGGTGTTTTAACTTTCAGGTTTTTCTGCATCTTCACAGAATCACCTTCTTCTCTCTCTACTCCATTTCATCCGTAAATTGCTTACCGGCATTCCTCCCGCGCCTCAAGGATACAGTAGCTAAATAAGCAATTGCCATTTCTGTTCTGCCTCATTGTCCCAGTGGTCTGAAGGAATCCTTAGCACAGACTTTCATTTGGTAATAAGCAATCTGAAAAATTACCTTATCACCTTTCCTGATTGTTCTGACTTGTAGCTTGCTGATTGCTTTCTTTGCAGCATCTCCAAGCCGGCGCTGTAATACAAAATTTGCTCTTAAGCAAAGAGTATCTCTTCATGCAGAAATCATCACCTTTTCTCCCTAGGCTTCTTAATAATCTGAAGTGATTGTACATGAAATGGGGCAGTGCTGCATAAATATAAACAGATGATGTCAGTCATACTGTTATTCAGAATAAGGGCACAGCAGGTATTCTTAGGCTTGCGGGTAACCCACAGCTGATGAGGCAAAGCTACTCTAATGGAGTTCCAGTGGAGAATGCATGTGAGCCCAGCATGATATTACACCACAGCACCTTTACTATTCCAGTGAGTAGAAATATATGTAACAAGTCTACTATCTGGATATCCTACTTCTTCCCTCTCTTTTTTTCAATGACACTTGTAAAAAATATATTATTAAATGAGGTCTGGGCTAGTAAGTGGAGTGAACACTGGTTTTAAGATTCAGAAAGTCTTTATTACATTGCTCCAGAACTAGTTCATGATATTCAGCAACATGTGAGTGCTGAAAGCAAGCTGTTAATTTGTTAACCACAAAAAACATGAATAATTTTCTCTGCTGTTCTCTTTTCCTGCAATACAGAATTGTCTACTTTATCGGTGCAATGTAAGGTATAAAAATGAGGCAAAAGCATCTGCTGTTTCTTACAGGTAAAGCACTGTACAGTCTTGCAGTTAACATTTTATCCATACATAACTATCTGCTTGTTCTTTGCCTTTCTATCTTTCCATACAGTGGACCATGAATTGTTTGCCACGTGATACGTCTGACTGTTCTCCCATATTTCCAAAGCACTGTTACTGTGCCAGCAGGGTCACAGCCACTCAGGATTAAAGTATGTAATAACAGCCTGACGCAAAACACCCTGTTCTCAGATGTTGAAGACGGAGGTGCCTGCCTCTTGCAAGAGGCTGAGAACATACAATCAGGGGCAGTTCATACAGTCACTGCTCAGCAGAGCTACCTCCACAACCTCTGCCTCTATCAGTGCTCCAAGGAGTTGGCTGCTCACTCAACAACCAGGGAATCTGGAGACAGACTCACAGGCTGGAAAGGTCTGTGAGAGAGCATGTACTCCCACCCCCTGCTCAAGGCTGGGTCAACTTCAAAGTCAGAGCTGTGTCCAGTCAAATTCTGAAATCTCCAGGAAGGGAGATTTCACAACCTCTGTGGATAATTTGTTCCAGTGCTTAACCACTCTCACAGTCTTTTTTTTTTTTTTCCCCAACATAGAAATGGTATTTCTCCTGTAGTTTGTGACCACTACCCTTGTCCTTTCTCTGTGAACCTCCGAGAAGAGTTTGCCTCTGCTCCCTCTCCAACCACCCACTATGCAGCTGAAGGCTGCGAGCACAGCCCTTCCTCCTCCTCTGCTCCCCTCCTGGCTCAGCAAGCCGAGCTCCCTCTGCCTCTCCTCAGACTGTACTGATGACCCTCCTCTGGGCCCTCCCCATTTTTTTCACATCTTTCTTGTATAGTTTCATGCAGCAACACCTACTCCGATGTCTTGTCACAATTTTATAACAGCTGATGATACACTGCATTGCAAATTGTCACCAATAAATGACTTAAATGTTTCTCTTCACCTCTCCTACCCATCCATATTTCCAGCCATGTGTTGTTAGATAGGAGGGAGACATAGAGGCTTTGGTGACTCTGAAGACATTCAACTTTTCAGGCTGGGAACATCGCCTGTACTGGAGTTCAGAGGGGCCTGTCAGCAGGAAGGATTTCCAGCTGGAGGGGGTGAGAACATAAAGCCAAAACCAGAAGGAAGCTGGATGTAGTTTGTAAAGTGAGACCTAATCACCATATAGATACGATTAATAAATTACCACTTTGTTCTTCAGATTCAATTAAAATCACTGAATTAGAGAGTAAGCTTACTGGATTGGAAAGACATGGAAGACTGACAAAACGCAATGCTGAAAGCAGAGAGCCATTTCAGATCTGGCTAAAGAGGTGAAAATGATCTTGGCTATCATATGAGATTTACATATGAGCTTTCCAGCATAACTAATTACTACATGTGAGGGAGTATCTTGTAGTTATACAACATCTTTTCTGTGGTACATTTTTCTCACGGTCTCCCTTAAATAAAGGGATCAGACAAGAGTTGGAAACATTTCTTGCCAGCTATTTGTTTCTTTAATGTAAATCAAAGAGTGACTGATAACAGAGAACAAGACATGAGCCATTATGTCCTGTTTCAGGAATTGCCTGTGTTTCCTTTTTATCATTATTATTACTTAAACTAATGAAATGTCTCAGTCCTTTTTTGCACGTTCTTCAAGGGGAAAGGACAAGATTAAAGACTGATGTACATCTTTGATCTGTTTGTTTTCATGTTTGCTTTCTCTTATCTATCTTAAATAGATAAGTTCATGACTTACATGCAAATGAGAATAATTTAGTTTTTGAAAGAACAGGAATATCTCGGAGTAAAGTTATACTTTCAAAGGATGCTTCCATTTGAACAAAAGGCATGCTATCACTAACTAAAGATTTCCTCTAAAAGATAAGAGGCATTACAATAGTTTAAGGGTTTTAAAGTGAGGCTTAGAGATTTACAGTCATAAATCTCATAATCTCATTAGCAAGGCTGCAACATTCAGTACTGGACTGGAAGGAGTTAAGCATATCAGATGCAGTGGTCTTGTGGATGTGGTGATACTAATTAAAAAGAAGAGACAGTAGCATGGAAAGCATTGCTTGTCTGTTCCTGAGGAAGTAAAATGACCGTAGGTGCTGTAGGAGAGAAATAATGCTAAGTGCTTCTCTCTTTACTAAATGTTCACCTTTGCAGGGAGGAGATCACCTTGCGCAGAAGGAAGTGCACCATCAGGACAAATTATCAGACACATCTCCTGTACCACAGATAAAGTTTTCAGACTCCCTCATGGAAGCACCTTCCCAAGACAGCTTCAAACACTGATGTCTCTATTCATTGGCTCCAAACTCTCATTCAAAGCCATGGCCAGCAGTCTTCCTTCTTAGATAATTGCTTGACCCTCCACATGCTGCCAGTCACATACTAAAGTAGATCCTTCACCGGAGATTAACCGAGGATGCAAAGGACCCTCCTCACTGTATGCTTTAGCTTTCACTACTGCGCAAAAGTCACAGAGCCCACCTGGTTTCAAAACAAGAAACCAATGGGAAGAAATGACATGGAAGAAATACGGTCAACAGGTCTGGCATTTAAACATCATCCCCTCACCATCTTCCCATCTCATGTCTCACAGACAACAAAAAGACAATTCTATTATTACTGGCGAAATATGAAATCTGACACACTGACAGGGCTGTTTTTCTTTTTTTTTTTTTCTTTTTTTTTTCTTAAGCCTGTGTCTTGGCTGTTACAGTGCTGAAACAGCAAGTCACATTTTGCTGAATTATCTTCAGGATTTAACTTGTCATGTAATTCCAAACTGTTTTCAATTAGCTCTACAACCTGATGTCTCTTGATGCAAACAATTCCCAGAGTCTTTCACAGAGAAACTCTCTCATCTTCATGAGGGAACAAGCCACTGAGGAAGCAGATTGCCTATGCTTTCCTTACACAAATCTATCCTCTTCATATCAAAAGGGTGTATCATCAGGGCAGCCACTTACTTCCTGGACATCTTGTTAGGTGGGAAAAAAAAGAGGAGGCCTTGGATTTTCATCCAGGTGAATATTACTACCTATCTTCTACTTCCACATGCATCGTACAGTCATCTGTGCTAGAGATACCCTTAAAAATTCAATGTATTAAAATAAAAATTGAAATCTAACCATATTTGTAGGTGACACCCTTGGTTGCAGGTGCACAAGTCCATAACGGAAGACAGTTGTGCTCCACTGCATTAATTCTCAGCCACATTGGAACAAGTGGGACAGGGCTTTCAGTGAGAATCCTTGAAGTCCTGATTTCTCTGCTCATCAATATCAGGCACCTAACTGGAGTGAGCTGTGTCTTCATTCTGTCACATGAACCTGGATTTTGCATACATGGTGAGGAAGAGTAATGCCTGAATATGTATGTGCTGTACGTCCAGGTTTTGTTGCACTGGCAAGTCACAGGAAGCGATTCCAGGAGATTCTTCAGTCTTTCTAGCTGCCTCTCTCACTAGCTGGACTCTCGATAGACAATTAAATCAGATCCTTTTGGGTTTACTGCTGGGTCAGCAATTTATGCCGTATGCAAGAAGGGAAGTGGACCTAGAAAGGAGGGTCACCACATAAAAGAGAACAAGGAGGCAAAGGTGGTTATCAGGCTTGACAAAAGGACACACAATGCTTTTCAAGAAAGGAAGGCATAGTTGAAACAGGTCAGATTGGAAGAGACAAAATGGAAGATGACTTAGGGAGACTTGGAGAGACCAAGGAAAGATGTTCAGAAACCTTGCTTTCACGGAACAGCGCAACACCCCTTCTGCTTGGAGAAAACAACTTTTTCTGCCAGTCATATTTACCAGTCAGCCACACTGTCCCATTCCCTCAACACGGTGCCCAGACTACCAATCCAGAGGAGCTGAACTGCTCCTGGTAGGAACTCCAGTATCAGCCAAACCCAGGAAGGGCAGGCATGGCAGAGGTTAACAAAGAGGCAGACATAGGTTCTTATTTGACACAGAAAACATAGGTCCTCCAAGCCCCTGTTTTAGAACTGGGGGATTTTAAACCATTCAGATGTCAAAATTAATTCAAGCTTTTTAAATTTTAAAATTTTCTTTTCATTTTAACAGAAGTCTAATAAATGAGTCACAGTTTTTCACACTTTCAGAACAGGGCAGTCAGTTCACACAGTCAGATTTTAACACACTGTAGGGTAGGAAGCGGTAACACAACTTTCTCTGAATAGGCAAGCTGGCTCCCCCTTCATCTGATGCTCTGTTTATCCAAACATTTCAACCTTCAGGTAAACTTTAGCCCGACTACATCAAATACAAATAGAAGGAAGCATCATTCCTAAAGCTAGTCAGCAACGAAGGTGTTTATAACACATGCAAGGCTTCCCAATAAGTAAGTACAATACCTTCATAGACACATGCAAGTTATAATGGCAAAAGCTATTGAGCGCAATGACAAAAGAATTTTGCTCCAACAAAGCAACCCAGTTTTTCTTGTATGTATCTGAATATCCAAGATACTGACATAGAACTTTGTGATCCCATCCTTGTGCTACAAGAAAATGTGTCAAAGAATCAAAGAAAAAAAAAAAAAAGCAGAACTTTAGGGGAAACAGAGAGGAACCCTTATGGAAAAGGTAAGAGCAAGATGAGCTCTTCTAAACTACCTATGTCTTTATATTTCATAGGCAGGACTAAAAGAAAAAAATCAAAACCACAGCAACTCATTAACACAAATGGTTGAGCTTTGTCTGTATATTGCTACTACTTTTCATAGGCAAAGAGCTAATAAAGAGATTAAGAGATGTCAGGCATAACTGGATGAAGAAAGTACGTGAAGAAATTCTAGTTTGCCCCATATCTTTATTGCAGCATGAAGAAATTCTAGTTTGCCCCATATCTTTATTAAAGCTTCAGCAAAAAATTAATAATAAATAATTGTTTAGGAGGCATGCTTGCTTCTTCTTCCCAAGAGCAGAACTAATATAACAACAAAGTTATTAAAATGTCTGCACAGGACAACTGCTTGTGCCCATGTTAGTCTTGTCAACCGTTGGAAAGAAAAATGCTGAAAATGAAATCTCCTTGAACGTCTAAACCTATCAATTTGAAACTATAGCATATTACCTGAATGAGCTTCTTATTTTGCTGGGCTTCATGTTTATGTATGTCTATTTACACTGCTAATCTGCCTGTATAATTACTTGATTGAAAGCACACTTACGGTACTCACATACATAAATTAGGCACACATGTGCTTTTGCAGCCAAAGCATCTAAAAATTATCACAACCCTTACAGTCACAGCGAATCTGCTGCCAGTGATGTTCAAATTCCAGCTGGGACAGTCTCATTCCTGCTATCCAAAATTTCATACTGTATATTTAAAAGGAAAAATATATTCTTTCTGTCTGTAAATACAGAGCAGCTGCTCTCTATCTCAGAGGATGCCTGAATTTCAATGGAGGAGGGATCCCTATACATTAAGTATACATTACAGAGTGTGTGGCAGTACTTTTCTCTACAAGATGATTATTAACACTCTCAGTTTTAATTTTTCTGCAGAGCAAGCAAGGCAACCCTCCCCCTGCCCTGACAGTAATTTATTAAGGGTCCAGAAACAACTCTGAATTACAGGGCATTTTTTTCCCTGCAGTAAAAGTTATCTCCTCAGATTTCATACATTGATAACATTTTCTACTGTACCATTAGAATGAAATGTAGAAGCCTCAGCTTCACAGTTCTGCTGATGCCAAGATAGTTGTATCCAGACAAGAAAAGATTAAATTTATCATTATCATTGCTATTATTATTCACTGCTGAACTACCATAAAGATGTACAATGCTTTAAAGATCCAGAGCGCCTCAGGACCTAGGGCTCATTCCCCCTGCTGTTGACTTCTCTCCAGCTCTGTAGGTTTTGCATCTCTTTCAGGGGTTTTGGACAAGATGCCAAAACCAAAGGCAATGGCTATCACTACAGCACTTATATATTCAGTGATCGTTGCCAAATGAACAGGGACACCTTTGTCTTTCAAGCCCAAGACCCTTCTATAGACGTATTAAATTGAAAACACTTTCTGCTCTTTTTTTCTTTCTTCACATATTGTGAACCCTTGTTTCCACAAATTCACATATTTCACTCTGTTTCAGTCATCATTTTGATCTCAAGGGTCACTAGTTATATACATTTCTACGTCACTTGGCTATATGTACCAAGGCAATCTTTTTACTAATAAACGTAACCAACTTTCTGTCTATTTCTTGTGTGTTTTGCATAGGAGAAAAAACCCCATAATATATATACACATATTTATTAATTTATTTTTTCCTGACACCCATCCATATCGACAGAAATCCTGGCTTTTCCCAAACACAGGCATTTTTATATCTGCGTTCCTTTCACCTCCTTGGTTTTAGATTTGGTTTGTCTTTTTTAGCAGACATTCACCATTTCCTCAACTTTTAAGCTGAATCCCATGGTGATTTTTTGAGAACGCAAACAGCCATTCCATCGCTGCTCACCTGATTTCTGTCTCTGGCATTTGCGTAGCGGAATCGCTGGATGTAATAGAAGACCAGCCACGCCAGTGAGATGATCATCAGCACAATGAAGGAGATGGAGACGAACACCACAGAGGTCCGGCTGACATACTTCTGCAAGTTGCGTGTCCCGATGGTTATGTACATCATCACAGTAATGTTCCTCTCCAGGAGGCTCACTATCTCTTTTCCTTTGGGTTCAGGAATCATTATTGCTACAACATCTTCTAGGCCTATCAGACAGGAGAGAGAGAAAAGAAACTAAGTAAAACAAGTGATAGCCAAAAGGCAAAACAGTGACAAAAAGGCTCTCCCCTTTCTCCTGCTCTCCCCTCCTGCTTACCAAGGGGTATGTCAGATGGATCTGGTAAAGGTTTCAAATGGAACCAGTTACAGAGAGTGTTTCTATAAACTAATCTCAGTGAGATATGTAAAATGTGTTCCACGGGTTGACATAAACATGGATTCCCAGCACTACTTATCAAACCTTATCAAGATGATATTGCTGTAAGCACTGCAGAAAGGCATCCTGCTACCCAGCACTCCATGTACATTTACCATAGCCCATTTTGTAGGGTCACGAGTCTGCCAGAAAAGCCCCTCCAAACTCTGCATTCAGATCAGAAATGCTTCCAATCACAGATCCTCACATGGCTTCACAACCTGAAGGTGCTGCCTTCGCCCAGGACTGGCAACAGGAGAAGCCCACAGGGACAAGAGCAGCTTGACACAGTCCCAGCTCCGCCGCTGCCCTGTGCTGACGGAGGCTCCCCACAGCCTGAGCCCACACAGATGTCTGGGAACCTCTGCTGGGAGCTGGACTCGTCAACTAGTGCCAAGTTTAAAGCCAAGAGCATGGTTTTATTCCAGAAAAAAAACAGACACAGCCCAGATCAGTCCCCGGAGCAGTTTGCAGCATGGCCCCAGAAGGACGCGAGTCAGCACAGCTGAGGCAGCGAAGGGATGTCCACTAATGGGATGGGGCAAGGACTTCCTACAGCCCTGCCAATCTTTCTGAAGCCATGACCCTGTGAAATAGGCCCTCTACCAATCTATCAAGCCTTAACTCTGCACTAGTTTTCCTGTCTGTACAGTGCTGTTTCATTTTACTTGCATCACACGCTGCTGAAACTACTTCTCTTTCATAATTTTATGTCCCCTATGTACATAATAAATATAGTCTGAAAATATCTGGGATTGGGCAGCTTGTTAAATGCCTTTTCAGGCTTCTTTTATGGTTTAATATTAGGGATATTGTGTTCTTCCACTTCATCAAACAAGTATGTAGAATATTTTTACATGTAAGCTATGCTTTGCAATAGTTAAATCCTGAATTGTACTAAGCAGCTAAGGACAACAGGATGTATTTTAATGTAGAAACATGCTAGAAACAACAGCATATGAAATGATCACAAACTGGCATTTAGAAAGAAAGGTAAAAAACGGGGGTGTCTGAAGTCAGAGAGACAATGCTGGGGTGGCGTTTCAGAATTTCAGCTAAAATCCCAGGAAATCAGCCAGCATGTTGTTAACTCCACAGCTACCTGTATTTGGACTGTGGCAGGAGGACAAAGCACTGCCTGCCTCAGATCATTTGTGGAGGTGGGGAGGGATTGCTTGGTCACTAATGGAGACATGAGAGGACCACTTGCGTTTCCAACAGCATCCCCTTCCAAGCTAATATCCAACCCAAGCTTCAGCGATGCAGCACTGTGACCTGGTCCTCATGGTCCAGGTCAGACATTTCTCCACCAAAACCCCCTGGGAGGTGTAAACCAGGTTTTCAAAGGTAATTGGATACTAAAAACCAGGAGGTGTCTACCAGGATTTTGTATATACTAAAGCAGACAGGTGGGTGGTGGTTAGTGGAAAACATTAACCATGGTAGAAACTACCCAACTCTGTTGGGTGCCTGGATCAACTGGAGGTACTGAAACAGCTGTGACAGCCTGTTGCCATTCACACACGAAATATGCTGCAAAGCTGGGACCTGAACCCTCCTTCTCTCAAGTCTTGCAGTAGAAGTGCAAAGACCCCCACTCTTTCTCTCATGAGACTTTCCATCGTAACACTTTCCTGATTATGAGCAGGCCAGTCAGTGAACAGGGAGAAACCAATAGTTTGGCTGAGTCAAGAGTTTCAGATATCCATGATAGGAAACTTAACCTTTCTGCTGGTACTCTTCCATAAAGCATTAATAATTTTCAGCTATTTCCCTTTATTTGTCTAGGAAGAGCCTACTACTTTCAGCAGCCAAGATAAATCTACCTTTGCAACTTTTCAGATACCCATTTATTACAAAAGGCTAATGCAAACATTACCCTAACAGCCTAGGGAGAATTTGCCAAGTCTCAAAGTGGCTGAGAAGGGCACTGGTGCCATGCCAGTAATTTTCCTGCAGTCAATAAGACAAATTGTTTGGAGCAGTGCTTAGCTGTACACATGCCTGCCTTTGTTCTCTTCCCTTTCTTTAAAGAAAAAAAAATAAATTAAAATCACTCTACAAGAAAACCAAAGCAACCACCTCACACATAGCCAAAAAGAACCGATAGTGAAAAATCCCACAGTTAAAATACTGAAATTAATTTCATCAACTCCTCTCAAAAACCACCATTCTGACCCATCCAGTTGTCTGGAACAGAGCTCTAACATCATCTTTAGTACAATCTCGGACACTGTATGAATGATGTTACCTGAAAGCCTATTAAAATGGGAAATATAGACAAAACCATTTTAAATAGAAAATATAGGTGGTATCTTAACTGTTTAATTATCTCGAATCTTAAATTTCTTTAAAAACATGTTTAATTCAACTGAATATAGCTTAGCATATTTCTGGAGAACTACAAATAATGAGCACAGGTCAGATAGGACATGATGCAAATGAATCACATTCAGTTCTTCAATTATGAATGTAATATTTTTGTAAGAATAAAACAAGCACCCACAGGCATGTCCTATCTCTTTAACAGTAGAGAGAGTAGAGTAAAATAGTAAAAAGAGAGAGAAAAAAATCATAATTTATTATAACTTATGACTCCTCGTTTTCATCACCTGCCCTTTCTGGCTTCAATCCATGGTGGAAACATAACTGGTTTTGAACAGGAGTGCAGCCACACACCTCCCTTCTCTGCATTCTCCTCCTTACCTCTTTCTGCTAGGATGGTCTACTGCCACCTTGGGCCCAGAGCCTTTTAAGATACTTGAAAAACCACAAGATACTAAGTAAACTGCCATGGATATACACTAAGTAAAACTGCCTTTAGAAATGCAAAGTAGAAGACACGGCTATTGCAAGAGGAAAGCAGCTGCTTTTATTTATTCAGATCCTTAATATATTCAAATTTCAGGCTATCTGGTTATTTTCTTGGAAAACATTACCACTTGTAACGAAGCATTCTTGGAAAAAAATAACCAATTCAGCAACAAATAACAATCAGGAATTTTTAAAAAACATTTTATGGGTTTATGATCATTTTTTCAAGGCACTACAGAGAATGCTATTTGATCAATCAAGTCATTAAGCATTTAGTCTCAAATATGCTCAATATTGGGAGGAAAATCTTACAAAAAGAAAGATAATTTATTTCCCTTTCCTCCCTTATACAACAAAATGTATTCTCTCAGCTTCAGTATCTAATGACACACAAGAAGCTCTGACAAACATGAAAATTATACACATTAAAGAAGGGAAATAATGTAATGAGACATCAACAGTAGAGATGTATTTCTACGTACAAGTAGACATTTGTGCAACAGACTTCAAATAAGAGAAAGTATCCGGTAATATGTACCGATGCTTCTCTGGTGAGCTAACGATGTTAACGATGCCTTTTATTAAACACACCCACAATGGTAACTGCATTTTGTGTCACTCTTGTTTCGTAACACATTTCTTTCCTTTTTCTCACCAAGATTAATGCAGAGTTTGACATGAATTTTTAAGTGGCTGTCAGGGTGAATCAGAGGTTCAGAAATGAAGGGTATTCATGCTGCAGCGAATGGACTTTTGTTTTTTTCTTCTTTTTTTTTTGGCTTAGGAAACGTTCAGCATATCAGTGCTCTCTCCTTATGAGCCAGTAACAGGACAAGTAAGGTAGAACTTAAAGGCATTCGAGATGATTTAAGTCACTTTAACTTGCCGAAGCATATTCGCCTAACCAAATATTATTGGGTGGAGAAAATGTGCTGCCAGTCTTCAGGCAGCTATTCTGCTTCTGGGCTCTGCATCCCATGGCATTATGCAGGCAGGCCATTGGCAGGGTCATCGGTGGGTGCTGGACAGGCCTGGGCATCGCTGGCTCCAGAGGGGCCATGCTGGAGAGCTGTGGAGAGGCTCAGCTTCCTTCCAGTCACCGGGCCAAGTGAGTAGCCCCGTGGCTAGTCCATCAATGGCACAACAGCCATACCAAGCTGCGGCTACTTCGTTCACTTACAGAGTTGCTCTGCAATTAGTATATACTGAATCTCCCAAGCACTATACATTCCTGTGAAGGTCATCCTGGGCTCTTCCTCACACCAGCCCACAGGAGGAGTCCCATCTCCTAATGAAGTGCCACCCTCCGACACCTACACGTGGTGGTGGATGACAGAGCTGCGAAGCTGCAATGAAGTCAGAGAACGTTTTCAACAGCAAGATGCACATTTCAGAAAAAGACCTGGAAGACCCTCTCCAAACCTTCCTCCTCCACGCAGTACTTGGCTACAGAAATACATTTGAGCTGGGATGCTTTCATGCAAAATGGCAAACCTTTTCAAGTGTAACAATCTATTCACTGGTGACAGAAGAAAAGACAGACTTCAGTTCTGTAACAGTGGCTTTTGTAGAAGAAGTGAACAGATTTTACAGTGAGAGATGTATGTAAATTCTCCACCTTGGCCACAGGCTGTGCTAACAAACCTGTGATATTTCTTGATTCTACTCTGGGAGCTTCAGGGGTGATACTGAGAACGGTCCTCTGTTCTCCTAATTAGCAGTCAGGCCCAGCAGTGGCGGGCTGCTGCTTTAATGCTTTGACAATTTTTGATGGAGGCTCTAAAAAGTGCTACGTTTCTGACACATCTTAGAAGAGACAATTTAATTCTTCATGCTTGGCAACTGCCAGAAGTCAGAGGAATAATTAATTGCATTATTTGAATAGAATTCCAATTTGGGAGGCACATAGAGTCTTCTCCAAGATATCCTATCAAGATGTAAATAAGGATTTCTCTTAGGTTGTACATCAAATTCAAG